CATTTTCTTCTTTTCCTTACATTTTTAACTTCTTGCAATGCTTACACTCAACAGTGCAACCCAACAGCTAAAAACAATGGCCAACACAGGGGGCCATTTTACCGCTGGTCCTTTGGCTTGTGTCCAGCAGAAATAGCAGAGGTACATGTCATTGACCTGGTTATCTTGGGCACAGCGGGCAACTTGATACACTCTGAGTTCTCGTCCAACCTTGCGGAACGTACAGAGTATCAATCTGAATCAGATGACTGAATTAATCAATGGAATAAAACAAAGGCCACACAGGGTATTCCGTTCGGTTCGAATAATTTGATTATAGACAAGGGGAGAGAGGAAGTGGGCAGGTAAGGGCTTGGCACAGCTTCTAGCAATATCCCAGCTGGGACATCACGTACATGATTCATACGCTGTACCCAAGGGGCATTATGATAGGTGCCCTTAGTGATGGTGTTTCAGGTGGGCCAACACCATAGATCCACCATCAGCTGGCGATCCTGTTGGTTTATTGTTCACCCCTGCTAGGATAGGACACTTATCAGACGGGCCAATGCAACATTACACCTACTTCATGGAGTCACCTAACCTTGTTACAGCCTATTAAGTACCACAGACCTATACAGCGGTCCTTCGAATCAGCATCACAGTGGTGTGAAAATGGCTAGATTCCAATGAATCTTCATCACTTTAGTTTCCCCATCCTACCATTCCCAAACTCCTATTCAAAACGATGTTTGTGGTTGACCAGAGAATCTGACAGCCAGTCTCCAACTGGTGAGAAGCAGGAGGGTTTCAGGTACTATGGCATTCAAATTTGGGGAAATCATGAACATGAGACAGCATATCTGGACATCAGCAGTCTGTGGGATATCATATCTGAGCATCAGTACTCAGCTGCATTTCAAACAGCATCCATACAATTACCCTGTCAAGTTATGGGGCCCCCAGCAGGGTAAATGACTACCCAGGCACAACATGGGGCTGTCCGCCATCATAACCTGCCGATCAGCCCATTGTACCGATTCCAAGGGCAGATAAGCCAGGGTAGCCTTGAGTCTGCAGCAGGAGGAGAGGGTGTTGACTCCTCACCAGGACTGGGTTTAATATCACAGTTTCACCTTCTCAGGTGAGAATAGATGGTCAGAAGCTCCAGTACACCTCATAAGTCAATTTCTATTGGATTACATAAACATTTTTGTTTTGTTTTTGTTGTTTTTCTTTTGGGAGGGGAACGAGGAGCTGGTATATACAACATCCTCAGCTATCTTTCTTTCATGAGTATGGTTGAACTCTTTAGTTCAGTGAAGTCATTTGTTAACTGAAGCTATGAGTCTTTTTAAACCATGTCTGGTCCACAGGGGTGTATGAACAAAGACTGAAACAGCAATGTTTTATATTATTCAACATTTTACATTTCCAGATTTTGATAAACTGATTGTAAAACTGTTTGACTGCTGACACATACAAACAAGCCTTGTCATATCTCATCAACATTTGATACATCCATCCTTGAATCTGTTGAGTGAACCTACAACGGCCTGTAATAACTATTGTGATGGGTAATGAATATACACACCTACTGAACTGAAAAAACAACAATAAAAAAACAACACTTCTGATACATCAATGAATCTCTCTTAAAGATACAAGTTTCTCTTCACTGTAGAAAATATAGACAATTCTAAAGCAAGTTTTTTCTTGCTACACATGTATTTCGAACATTCCCAATACAAGTTACTGATCTGAGTATATATTGAAAACATTCCCAATACAAGTTACTGATCTGAGTATATATTGAAAACATTCCCAATACAAGTTACTGATCTGAGCATATATTGAAAAGTTCAGACAAATTCCACCCTGCCACACTCACAACATGAGAAACAATTTTGACATACCGTACCTGTAATCAAATTGCAATTTCTTGCCCCAGAATGTACAGTGTTGAGAGTAGAGTTATTATTCCCTACTTGCGCTTGTCAGTCAGTATCCAGAACATGAAGATTGTGACACTGAATGACGTGAATCAAGTCAATCTAAAGTCAACATGTCAACCCTTCACTGCAGGGAGTTGGCCCCCCATTGAGCTCTCTACACCATAGACAAAGATGTACTCCAGAGGCATGACAAGCTCTACAGCAGGGCCCTATCTCATCTGATCAGACCATAAAACAACCTTTAATCCAGTCCCCCAGTCTATCAATAAAGGCCAGTTTCACCCACCTCGACCACAGTGATAGTGGCAATATAATGTTTTGATATCTCGACATTCCTTGTTGGCCTTGATTGACACTTTTCCATTGGGCTGTGGGGAACAACAGGTGAATCATGGAGCTAGGAGTACAGGTGTTCATTACAGACGCTACCTGTGTTGGGTCTGTGGCTTGAGGATAAGATGGTCGGATACATGAAACGCTCATAAGATACCCTGAGACTCGCAGCTGACCCAGACACTTGAGGAGGTGTGGAGTCTACTTTTGTACATGATAACAATAGCAGTCACTGAAATCTCAGATCCCATATACTGTTTCACAGAAAGTATACCTGATAAAAGACAACCTGTAAATAGGTATCGAGTGAGTGAGTGAGTGAGTGAGTGAGTGAGTGAAAGAGTAAGTAAATGAGTGAGTGAGTGAAAGAGTAAGTAAATGAGTGAGTGAGTGAGCAAGTACGGTTTTACAGCATTTCTTGCAATATTTAAACGATATCACAGAGGGGGCCAGAAATGGGCTTCAGACATATTAATTGCAGTCATATTCATGTATCAGAAACCTTTCATTGTGGGTGGGTTGTAGAGTGAGTGAGTGTGTTGCGCCCCACAGAAGAAAGGCAAAAACGCTGAGTACAGTCAAGTCCTGTTAATCCGACATTGTTGGTTGCATATGATTATGTCGGATTAACAAGTATGTTGGATAAACGAAATTAGGTATTATCAACATTCGTGATCGAAAATTGGACAACTTTACTATACATAACGATTCAAATCCTGTTTTGTTTGTTTAAAGCAGTAATTGTTTATTGTTAAGCAAGTTTATCTCTGCAGCCGTGGAAATATGCTGCTACTCGCCGACTTGTCTCGCATCAAAACATGGGGCTGTGTACTCGCGGGCAGATGACCACGGAATACGCTGATCACTGTGTCGGATTAACAAGACTGATTAATGAGTTGCAAATTAGGTTTGTTGGAGTCGGAGTGCGAGACTGTCGGATTAACGGGTCTAAATAGCACTGATTTAATCGGTTCCCATCATTTGTGTCGGATAAAGCCAATTGTCGGATTAACGAGTGTCGGATTATGAGACTTGACTGTATATGGAGAAGGCAGTATATTCCAGCAACTTCATAATGAGATACTGGGCATGTGATGAGTGAGTGGTGGAGTCAAGTTTTATTCTGCACTATTCATGGACAGACTAGCGAGGGCTACCAACAGACTGTTCATGAGGCTGACAGGGAATATCTTCCAAACAATTAGCAACATTTCCATATCAATGGACACGAAGATCAGGTTTATATCGTCCATGTTGGGACTCGAACCCAACTGACCTGACCACAAGGCCACACCACCACCCCCCTTTGAGATGAAGCTCTGACAACAACATGGCACAGCCTTGGACAACAAGGTACAACATGGTACAACATGGTACAACATGGTACAACAAAGTACAACATGGTACAGCAAGGTACAACATGTTACAGCATGGTACAACCATAAGATTCAGCAAAAGCAGCTTGTTCATAACAATTTGCGGAAAATAAGTCTTTTCAAAATTATATTTCCTTTCTTTGAGATGGAAACAGATAGTATGAAATGTCACTGAAGTGGACTGTGTGATCTATTTGAGAGTGCATAATATTTCCCGACTGTAATATCAAGTCTCATTAATTGATGTTTTCAAATCACCTTAAACCAGCTCTGATGTGAGGCAGAAGTGACATTTGAGAAGAGCCAATAAATAATTGCTAAGTCTTGGTTGAGAAAACTGTCTGGATGATAATGTTACTCTCTACTGAATACTGTCATCATTTCTACTTAAAGAATAGCTAATGGCACTCTACAAAGGTTCTGTTTAAAATAACAGTCTGAATCGAAAAAACAAACATTCAGAACTGATGTTGGTAAAGACTTTGTGATGTGATTATTTGTTTGTTGTTTAACGCCGCACTCAGCAATATTCCAGTTATATGACGGCGGTCTGTAAAATAATCGAGTCTGGACCAGACAATCCAGTGATTGACATCATGAGCATCGATCCACGCAATTGGGATCGATGACATGTATCAACCAAGTCAGCGAGCCTGACCACCTGATCCCGTTAGTCGTCTTTTACGACAAGCATAGTCGCCTTATACGGCAAGAATGGGTTGCTGAAGACCTATTCTACCTTTGGGATATGAAACCACAGACCTATTCTACCTTTGTGATATGAAACCACAGACCTATATGATAGGTCCATGATGAAACAAAATCACAGATGTGTGGTATCAGTATCGTCTTTCTCGAAAAGAAGACTTTACTACCTACGAGGTCAAACATATCAGGGTTAATAAAAATCATATGTGCCCCAGAGTCATAGCACGTCAAGAATGAGACAACAGTGTATTGTTTCCGTCATCCAGACGGCATTGCTGACGTCATTCCAATCTTATTGTGACATGAGGTCGGAATGACGTCACACTAGAAACGATGTCATTGCTGAAGGTTGTTGACGTCATTCGACAGATGGTAGTTCCGCTGCTGTTGTGACATGCTGTGCTTATAGGTAAACACTTAGATTTGTCTCTATGTAGACATCTCTTCGGTAATAAATAGAACATTATATTCGGGTTCAAGTCATACTATGTTTACGACACTCGTACCTTTATTTCGGAATTTTGACACTTGTGTCGTAAACATAATATTACATGAACACACATTTAATATCCTATGTTTCTGAACAATAATTTAATCTGGAAAAAAATATATGTCATGTCACAAATCAGAAAAATACAGAAGCACTTACCATGGCTGATCTGCTTTGTGCTGCGGCTGCTGCACTTTCACGTCCTCGTCGTAGTTGAGCTCTTCGCCCTGAGGAGGAGAAAAGTGGTGTTAATGAGTATACGCCAAGACAAACTTCATCAGTAACAAACGCAGACTGTAACTTGTTCTCATATTGTGCTGATTCCTTTCATAGATTCAAGATTCAAGACATTTTTGAACAGAACACCCTCAGCGGGCAGGGTACAAATCTATACTACAGATACAGTATGTTGTACAGAAACTCAACATTGTAGTGAGTGAGTGAGTGAGTATGGTTTTATGCCGCTTTTAGCAATATTCCAGCAATATCACGGCGGGGGACACCAGAAATGGGCTTCACACATTGTACCAATGTCGGGAATCGAACCCAGGTCTTCGGCGTGACGAGCGAACGCCTCAACATTGTAAGACTAACATACTAGCATACAGTAAATAAGGGGGGTTAATGACAGCATTTACAGGAACTGTGTAACAGGTTACATAGCCAAGTTTGTCCAAGTTCAACTAAACTTATTTTGACAAGTACATAACACTCAAGAATTATATTTCATTTTAATTCTTTCCTAGATATTTGTTCCAATTACTTGTCTTAGAGTCCACAATTCATCCTAGTACCAAGGAACATTAGCATCAATGTCTTACCTCAACGGAACCAAGCAGAATTTGTTCTTAAAGAGGGAAAATCTAACTTTCAGGATCAATGTTCTATTCCTTCTCAAGTTCCCACCAGTAAAATCATCTGCAACATTTCACACTAGCTTCGCGAAGAAACAAAATGATTCATTAATCCATGAGTATCCGAGACATGTTGATCTATAGGATGTCCGTTACCCTATGGACAGGTACCAAGCTCCTCCAGCAAGGAAAAAGCTACAACTGATGACATGCCCTGCAGACTCAGGTCGATCAATGAATTACGTTTATCTAAACTCTCTCGTCTTCCGAACAAACAGACCCCCACAACAAACAGCCAGTGATCAAAACACCTGAGACTCATGCACGCACCAAATGGGAGTCTCAAAATCATGAACAAATCATTAGTTATGATAAAAACCTCGTCATGACCCCCAAAAAAGATTTTTGTGAGAAAAATTACATATTAATTAATGTTTCATTTTTCTTCGACTTTTGAAAAGTCATACATAACAAAAAAATGCATTTTAATTAAGACAATTTTTAAAGTGGATAGATTTATTGTTCAGTTTTCTGGTATAATTGCTCCTTCATTTCATGTGTTAGTTGACTGGGTAAACAGTGTTGTATACTTTACCATATCACTATTTCAATTAACTTCTGAAACATCACAAAAATATGCTTTTGGTTTTAACAAGAAAAACTTCTATTTTTTAAAAAACACAAAAGATCTCACCTGCTCTCATACTGAAAGAATGTAAACCCAGCTGTGATATGCTATGTTTTGAACACGAATGTCCGCGCTGACCAGTGGTATACGGTCCAGGGACTTCGCATTGTCTGCTGATCACTGTTCTAGAAATCAATCACCAGCCAATCATAGGACTGGCGGAAACTTAATCCCAACTGTCGAAAAAACCCTATTGCCTTTTGTTTTTTGTGTGAACATGAAACTTGTGGAGTCTTTGTGTGTATTATCTTCACAGCACAGGAGGTAATTAAAACAAGATATCCACGGCTGGACGCTCCGGTATGGAAATTATGACCAGACCAGATGATACAGAACAGGTGGAATGTAAAAGCGGGAATGTGGAACACAGGAGTTTTTGTGTCCAGAAGACGATTACAACAAGTATTCTTGAGGCACGGAGCAACTCTTCATCCTATTTGAGATATTCCATCAAAAATGCATCCAAAAAATAGATCCCACTCTCATTTGAAAAAATTAAAAGAACATTTTAGTCCGAGATGAAGAGTTTATAATGGAGTCACATTAACTCAGCAGGAAGTGAATATAATAATTTCAGTCAAAAACACAGATCAGAGAAATCCATTTCTTATGAATCATAGACTCTGTGTATCTCGGCCAGTGGTCTGTCGAGCTTGTGGCGGACGAGGCTGTCACAGGGAGTGTTGGCTCATGGGCAGCGAGAGATTAACTGACTCCGAGTTACGACAAAGTTGCAACATGTACACACCGTTGTTTACCATTCCCAGTGGCTGTGAGCCACAGTTCTTTGCTGCGGCATTGCCGTCATCGACGACCCACAGCCGCAGAAAGTAGAAAACAAACACTACATTTCATGCCAAGATGGTCTTGAAACTGCAGCAGGCAACATCTCACAGCTACAATCACCAACACGATGACAATGGTCACATGTCGTGCATTGCTGCTTAGTTAAAAAAATAACAATTATTTGAAGAGGTCTTTTAAAACGTTTGCAGAAATTGCATTTTTAAAACCAGGTTTAGAAGGAAAACATGAACACACACATAAAGTGTGAGGTTAATGAGAATGTTGTCACTGGACAATTCATGAGTGAGTGAGTGAGTGAGTGAGTGAGTGAGTGAGTGAGTGAGTGAGTGAGTGGGTGGGTGAGTGAGTGAGTGAGCAGCTTCGAAAGCTAATCCAGTAACACTCTTTAAGTCAGGGACACCAAGCATAGACTTTACTAACCTTACCATGTGGAAAAACAAACAGCTCTTTAGTATGACAAACACTTAAGACTACTCTGCTACCCAACAAGCCTGCTCAAGGTTGAACTTATGTGGCGAGGCAAGGCGAGGCGAGGCTTGGGTTTGAAATTGAAGATTAATGCACTGATATACCTGTGACTTACACACTTGTGTGTCATAAATCACAGCAGGAACGTCAAAGTTTATAATTCTCTATCATATTTACAAAATGTTAATTTCACTGGGCATTTGTGATATTTTGTTTGTTTGTTTGTTGTTTAATGTCGCACTCAGCAGTATTCCGGCTATATGATGGCAGTCTGTAAAAAATCAAGACTGAACCAGGCAATCCAGTGATTGACATCATGAGCATCGATCTACATTTTGGATATGAAGACATGCATCAGCCAAGTCAGCGAGCCTGACCACCTGATCCCGTTAGTTGCCTCTTATGACAAGCATAGTCGCCTTTTACGACAAGCATGGATTGCTGAAGACCTATTCTACCACAGATCTTCACAGTTTGGGTATATATGATATACTACTCAGCATTTGCTAAGGAAAATAGTCATCTTCAGTTAAAGGTGTGTTCTTAGCAAATGTTGAATAGCATATGTATAAGTTTCAAAATGATGAATAACAGTGAATAAGAGAAAAATGGTACACGGTACTCATCCATGGGTACAGCATTAGATGAATCGGCATAGTAATCCCTACATTATCAATACAATGAAAGAAATAAACATCAATGAACCATTTGTGGCACCAGATAGGTTGTAGTAGTGGCATGGCGCCTGATGTGATCATGTGACAAGAGAGGACGATGAGTGTTATCAATAACAATGTTGCTATATTCTCGCTGTGAATCACAAACCATCTCCGCCTTGAAAGACACTTCTTCCAGTGGTTGTAAGCCTGGTGAAAGACTACCACAGCCAACTTTTTATAATTAGACCAGAAGTTTTTCTTCCATTTTGGCGAGTAATGATTTCTGAATCTCTGGAAAAACCTTTTGAAGTCGAGCAGCCTCCCAAGTGCATTTCCCCCGACCACAAACATGTAAGCAGTCCACTTGGGCTTGATCAATACCAAAGTGCAATTCAAGCGAACATGCTTTTTGCCCAATAATTGACACATTTGTTGGTCTGAAGCAAGACACGTTTATCCAGCATGATCCCAGTTATTTTCAAACTCTACAGAGGGATTTCATACAATATTTGATGGCGAGAAGTGCTTACTCTAACACCAAGTCATTGTCAGCACGCTATACAGGAATTTAAAGATTATAAAAAATATTTTTTTCTGAAATTGACAGATCACATACCATCTCATGAATCACATTGTTCTTCTTAAAGAACGAATGTGCACAATTTCCACACGATGGTGGCTGAAGTAAGGAGTCTGTTTGAATACGTCGGCTCCCAATACCACCCGCTCATTTCCTCCGTTCACCTGCTGTTGTCACTTCAAGGGTTAACTCTCACACTTGTAAGCCTACTGCCACTTGTTCCTGTTGCATTGCTTGTATCTTTCTATCTCGTAATGACCTCTTGGGAGGTTTTACTTTTTCCAAGTAAGACCTTATCCCGGGTGTGAGGTTTTACTTTTTCCAAGTAAGACCTTATCCCAGGTGTGTGGTTTTACTTTTTCTAAGTAAGACATTATCCCAGGTGTGAGGTTTTACTTTTTCCAAGTAAGACCTTATCCCAGGTGTGAGGTTTTACTTTTTCTAAGTAAGACATTATCCCGGGTGTGAGGTTTTACTTTTTCCAAGTAAGACCTTATCCCGGGTGTGAGGTTTTACTTTTTCCAAGTAAGACCTTATCCCGGGTGTGAGGTTTTACTTTTTCCAAGTAATACCTGGTATAAGGTTTTACTTTTTATTAGTAAGACCAGGTATGAGGTTTTACTTTTTATTAGTAAGATCGGGTATGAGGTTTTACTTTTTATTAGTAAGACCTGGTATAAGGTTTTACTTTTTATTAGTAAGACCGGGTATGAGGTCTTACTTTTTCCAAGTAATACCTGGTATAAGGTTTTACGTTTTGCTAGTAAGAGCTGCTGATTTGAGTAGCATCGAAACATCAAAAACAAGAAAAGAAACTTTTTTATTATGGATGACAGAAACCAAACCTGCAACCTCACATATCGTGTTAAGTTTTGTAACCAACAGTTTTCCACTTAGCCACCGTGGCAGCTGGTGAAAGAACATTCAATTTTAGATGTCATGACTTTAAGTTTTACTGCATGTGTTTCTTCTCTCATAGGCCTTGATCGCATTCCTTTAAAACAGCGACACACTGTATTGTTTCGCTCTAAGACATTTCGATGTTTTCTTATTTTTTATGTTATTTGTTTCATTTAGACAAATAAATAAAGTGAGATAAAGCACTCCTCGCTGGTTATGGTCGCGGAAGTAAGATCTTGGCAATCGGGTATCGGCAATGTACGACCAAGAA